GAATGTCTTATGCTCTCACGCTATCCGTGCACTCATGCTGGACTGTTATCACTGACGAACACGAATGCAAGTCAGAGAGCTGCCTGACGCTGCGCCAGAACCACGAGCAGTTGAGCCAGACGTGCAGGTTAATACCTACTGAAATGTAAGTATAAGCTTCATTTTGGTGTGTTTTTAATATTCAGATCATTTTACTTGTGGAGAGTAAGTAGAAAACAATGTTGCTAATGCTAACATTGCTAACACAAGTAATGCAATCAGATTCAGGTAATACAAGTGGTTTCCATTTTTTCAGGTGGGCATTTCTGCAGAACACCTGCAACCGCTTTTGACAATAAGGCGGCATATAATATTTTCGATAACTGCTAACGGATTTCTTTTCTTATGAAGGCAGATGGAATTATTCCACTTTAAATCAGTTTATTCTCTTAAATTTTGTCCATTAGTTACGAGTCATATGTATGAAAAGTATGAGACTTTTGTAAGAAAATGTAAATGCAGGGTAGATGTACGTGCTCTAACCTTGGCCAATTTTCAAAACAATGGAATAACAAATTTACGACCGTTTCCGTCTGAATAATTTCCATCTTCATCTTGTGCTACGAAGGATCTATACAGCTAGCATGTTTTTATTGATAAATGATATAGAATGGGTGAATTTAAACATAGGTTAATATTTTAGAATATATATATATACTTCATTATATTTCTTTAAAATAGCGTAATATGTATGAGAAGGTTCATGTGATTCCGATAGCGCCATGTTTGTTTACTTTTCGGCCTTGTTAATGTGTTTGGGTCAGTCGATTTTCATTCGGAAAGTTCATACGGAAAAAGTGATAGTGTGAACGGACCTCCCTTCATTTGTTAACGTATGATTTATACATACAGGACATCACTAACTTTGAATCTGGAAAATGTCAATCTTTGCCAAAAGGTCACTGACAAATATGCAAATATGACATGCTCATAGTCAAGTAGCTAAGTAGTTTGAATGTCTTTCTTCTCATACTATCTCCATTGTGGACGGATATTTATGAATTACGTGATCAGGAACGTTAATTTTGCCGTCTGTACCGTACATACATGTGTGGTGCATACACGCGCGCGCTTTTTTTTGCTCCTTCAAGGTCTGAAGAAGTAATGAAGTGTCAAGACCTTCGGCACAGTCGTTTGTTCCTGTTTTTTGTTTCGTTGTTTTATTTAGTGTGGGTATAATATGTGAGCACTAATAAGTACACACACTTACACACACACACTCGCGCGTGCGCACACACATATATACGTATGCATATACATATTTATGTGTGTGTGTATATATATATATATATATATATATATAATATATGGTAGAAAAAATACACAATATACAAACTAGATTTATGAAAAGTTTCGAAATCCTCATTATATATATATATATATATATATATATATATATATATATACATACATACATACATACATACATACATATATATATATATATATATATATATATATATATATATATATATATATATATATATATATATATGCATGCTCTTTGTATGTATGCAGGGCCGCCGTGCGAACATTATCAAGTGATCACTGAATTTATCATGAAGATTTGGTTTCACCCGTGTGGAAAAGGGAGGGCTGATGAGATGAAATAAGAGGTCTTTTAATACTACGTTCATATCTTGATTTAGATTTCTAATGAAAACACATTCACACAAATTATCAAGAGTATCCTTTTAGTAGTTCCAAATCCTCGGAAAAGTGCAGGTTGAAAATCTGGCAACAGACCTCTATATAGTGTTACCAATTAACCTGTTTCTTGTTAACCTTATAAAGCGAGGCGAATTGATTTCTCCGCCCATACACAACCGAAGTTAACCCGTGTCTAAGCTTCCTTTCAACCTCTCGCAGATGGAAGGCGCAGGATCGGTGCCAGAGGAACTCCTTGATTCCTATGCTGCCAATCACAGGTGCCATCGCCCGGGGATCTCTCGGGCGGAGATGGCATCGGCCTACACGGAAATGGCGGAGGACTACGATGAGGTGCGTGTAAATTGGAAAGGATAATGATAAAAGTTAATTCGTGAGGATGGGTGGTGGCGTGGATGAACGGTATTTCGTAGGAGTAAAGAGAGGTATTTGTAAAAGACGTGATATGAATATGATGAGGATGGTTATGCAATATATAATACAACAGATCAAGATTTTTTTTTTGTCAGTGTTATTACCATTATAATGATAATGATAATAATAATAATAATTATTATTATTGCCATTACCTTTGCTATCATCATTATCATTATCCCACTGAATCTGGGTGGCATGATCCCCAACTGTACTCTACTCCCGCGCCAGAAGCGAGAATGGCCGCGCCGACTATTTGAAGGGCTAAGTAACTCCTACGCCTTGAGAGTGGAGCACATTGGGTACTCCACTCGAGAGTACTTTTTATAAGTGTATTTATGTTCCTCTCTGTCTCCCTGTTATTGTATCACGAAGCGTTCTCCTTTTATGTCTGCATACTATCACATAATTTCATTGCGGGAATGAGCGAACGATACATCTTGTGTGTAGGACCGGGTCTACAAGCCTACAAGCCACACACCTTGGAGATCGGTCGTTCGATTAAGCCTAATATCCGTATTTTAGCCCAGGCACGAGCCGTGAGGCACCCGGGTCCAGCTGGTTTAATTCACCATGTGTTAGTGTGGTTACAGTCAGTTTTATTTATATTATCTACAAATACACCTGTTTCTGATGTTATTCCTCCTACCACGATTATCATTATTCCTACAATTGCTTTTAGAACGATCATTGTTACCTCTCCTATTGCAATTACTCTAGAACAACTACTGCTACAAACACAACTACTGTATTTCGAAGTTTGTGCACACCGTGTAACAAGCAGAAGGGCTAACCTGGCCAGAGCATTTTGCTAAACCATAGCATAATTTCTAGAACCCTTTTTTGTCTTAAAAACTGTTAAGGTTTTACTCGAAACCAACCGTGTTGCGTGTTACTCCAGACACTCCGTCCGGGCGTCTACAACGGGCCTGTGCTCTGCGCGGAGGCAGCTGCGTCCCGCGTGGAGGAATCCAGGCGGGCGTGCGCGCGCGTGATGGACGTGGCAGCCGGCACGGGGCGCGTGGGCCACGAACTGCACCTCCGCGGTTTCAGGTGAGTTACCGGTCATCATGAGTCACTAACAGCAACATGACCCCTTCTTCCGACCCTGTCCTAACGAAGAAAAGGAAGGAGAATAAGAAAGGATGGCGACGAAGAAGAAACATGGGTGACGGATTATTTCTTTGCAAGGTCACTGGCTAGCCATAGTAACGCCTGCTGCTTCGACCAGCCTCTTAACTAACTCCAGCATCCTCACAGGAACATCGACGCCGTGGATCCAAGCGATGGCATGATACAGAAGCTGGAATCCCGTGGCCTCTACACCAATAAGTACGTCGAGTTCGTCGGACTGGGTCAGAGTACTGTTCCTAAGGGTGGGTTTGACCTCTCTGTTTCCCTGTTATTGTATCTCGAGGTGTTCTACTTTTAATGTTCGAATATTCTCTTATAATTTCATTGCATCGCATTTTTTATCATGGGATTTCTTAGCTGCTATATTTGAAACTGAGACTGGCGTTTCATGCAGACACGTATGACCTGGTGCTTGTCGCGGGCGGAATGGGCGAAGGACACATCCCTGTCGAAGGCCTTGACGATATGATCAGTATGGCCAAACCAGGTGAGACAGCAGGTGCATCTTAGATAACACATACCTTTTTAAGGATGAAAAGACGTATCACTAATTCAGTGTATTCAGTGTAATGTGACACAGTATAATTAATTCAGTCAAATGTCTCTAATATCCTGAAATCAAAATAATATTTCAATAGTGTAACCTGGGCCGTCGTTTTAGCTTTTTCGGGGGGAGGGGGGCAAGGGTTGAAGACGAGCGAACTAAACAAAAAAGAGAGAATTAGCTGTTCTAAGATTTATTTTTAAGCTATTTACTGACCTTGATAGGAGTGATGAAAAAATGTGACCCTTGGAGGAGCAAGCCAGGCCCTTAGTGTAACATAAAGCTTTACTCACCAGGTGGCGAAGTGATCATCGTGATGAGAAAAGAGTATTTAGACTACGTGGGGGAATACAAGGACAAGCTGGAGCCGTACATGGACCAGTTGGTGGCGAAGGGCAAATGGACCAAGGTATGGGTATGTGCTTGTACATACGTTATAAATGATAATGTCTTGAAAGCCTGTTGATGAAACTACCTTTTTTGTCTTCAGGTGGAGCGGAAAGTCGTCCCAAACTACTCCTACAAGAAGGACGGTGTCATCTATACCTATAAAGTGACGTGAGTGACATATGCATTAACTGGCGTGCTGCTGCCGTTGTTGTTGATGGTCCTGAGCGTCTGAGGCAGTCTTTGAACAGCACAAATAAAGTCTACGAGCAGCTGTCTCATTTTCCTCATCCTCTTTATGAATCTACCAAAAATAGGAAACGAGAAAGTTTAAATAAGGTAAAAAATAGAACAAAAGTGAACTAAAAAATCCTTTACCTTCTAGGTAAAATTAGTTACCCTTAAAAAATCAAATTATCTAAAACACACATATCCCTAGAAAAAAAAACATTAGCAGCAAGAGCTGTAAAAGTAGCATAGAAAAAGTGATATTAACTGTTTGTTATTAATGCATCTCAGTGAATGAAAAAATCTAAATTGCTTCATAAAAATCAACAGAGAATTACTCTTCTTTATTTAGTAGAAAAGTGGACAATATTTTTAAATTTTGTACCATCTCTTCACACATGAAAGCTTGGCTGAATGAAGTAATTAATCAAGTTATTGGTAATGAATCGAACCCAAAAGTCCCTATTAAATGTTTAAAATAATGTAACTACCAAAATTCACCCAAGATAAGGTGGGTTCCTTGTCTGGAAAACCATGGAGACGCAAAACTATGAAGAGCTGTCAAGACGCAAGACAGCATTTAAGATCGGAGATTGGAGCTTTTTCGTACACATGCACATTGAGAAACATCAGTTTACAGGCGCCATGTTCTAATAACTAGTAGCCTTTCCTATATTGCATTTTTTAATTGGCTTATCCGGCGTTACCTGTGAGGTAAGGCAGTGATATCTGAACTTATTTTCTTCTAGTGCTAATAGCATGAATCAAAATAGCAAATACTTTATTCATAACCATTTGCTAGTTGAACTGATTATTCGATCAATGCGTGAAAAGGAATGCTGATTCTGAAATAAACCATACTTCACCCCAACCTTTAAAAAAATCTGATAAGAGAGAGTATGATTACCACACGTAAGAAGAGGTATAACCTAGGAAAACCACCACTTGAGCTAAACCTTAATGACCTTTACACCGTGTCTACCATAAAAAAATTGGATGCTTCAGCTTTTATCATTTTGCTTTAAGATATGATTGGACATGAAATATAAAAAAATATGAGATTTGTTTCATGCATCTTGAGTAGGTTAAATTGTGTGTGTGTGTGTGTGCGCGCGAATTAGTGAATAAGTGTGCGTGCGTGTGTGTGTGAGTGAATAAGTGTGCATGTGCGTGTGTGTATGTGAGTGAATAAGTGTGCGTGTGTGTGAGTGAGTGGATAAGTATGTGTGTGTGAGTGTGAGTATGTGTGTGTGTGTGTGTGTGTGTTGTGTGTGTGTGTGTGCGCGCGCCTCTTGCTCTCTTCCTTCTGCCTTGCTTATCAATGTAAGCTCTTCCAGTTCTCCTTCTCATGCAGTGCCCAAATGAGCAACAATTGCTGATGTCTCATTGTTGTAATCAGCATCCTTCCAAAAGATCGCCGGGATATTTGACTTCGATATACTTATCCCCAGCATTACTGCACTGATCCACATTTCCATATTACTTGAGATGCAGTTAACATCACATCCGTCCTTGTGGTTTTTACCCTTTTATGGCACAACTCTCGGTGGCAAAATGCATTGCTAAACGGCTGGATTTGACATGGATCGATAGCTGCTTAGTGAAAGTAAGCCTCAGGGAAGAGAAAGAAAACACTGATTATTCACTGAAATATGCCACTTCGCGTCGGAGGGGAAACACAAACGCTCATAAAACTGTTTGTTCATTAGATATGCAGTGGATATTCACTTCAGTTGGTCCTATGCATTTGTGTGTTGCCGCACGTGAGCTCAAAATCGCTGCCGAAAGCGACAGGAATCGCAAACCAAACTTAGAAAACTTTCTACTTCGAAAAGTAGTCAGTACAGTGTAAAACGCACACTTACTACATGTGGGACAGATTTAAAAAGGGTAGGTTGGACAAGATTACAAAAAACAGTCGCAATAGCTGAGCCGTTCTTCTTTTCAAAGACGTTTGCACGGAAATAGACTGGAATGCATACATCACTCATGATTCATCGGCGACCGACAAAATCCTCATTTACTTAAATGTCTTTAGCCGACAGTTATTATAACAATTGATGGTCAAACAAACTCACTGAAATGGCTGTGGATGTAATGCTTTTTTGACAAATCACAGTCAGTCTAGACATAGCAAAGTCATTAGATTCCAAACAAGTTGATGCTGTGTATGATTATATTTGCTCTAGTATTCCAAGCTTCGGTACCATGTTTATAAACCTAGAAAACGTCGATGTTTTAACTAGTGAAACAGAAAGGTATCTCAAGTATGAAAATACCAAGCAACTAATAGCTTGTCAATGACATAATTATAAGCAATAATGAAGAGAAGGATTCACGTCTACAATATTTTATAGGATTATGAGGAAGAAAAATGCTACTGAAGGTTGAAGCCACCTATTTTTTTTCATTCAAATTCGCTGAAAAGTGGCATTCGAGATCTCAGAGTTCAGCATTATGAAAGCGTTATTTTGCTGTCTGACCTCTACCGACACCATGCAGTAGAGGTCAGTTCATATACATGTCAGAAATCAATATGATTATTTGAAAGTAATATATCCATACTAACTAAAAACGAATAGATGTGATTACCTGTTTCATTTATGCACTTTCTATACAAAATGGTGAGGCATTTATCGACGAATCATAATTCTTTTTCCTCTGTCAGCTTCAATTTGTTTCCTGTTTTCATAAATTTAACTGGAAATTTGCATGCCTTCCTTTCCATACTGTATGGACTGTTTCTCATAATATCGGTACGAAAAGTACAGTCCTACGGCCGGTTTGTTAAACTTGTGCCAGGCCCGACCTAAGTGACATCCATTACACGGACATGCACATACACGGAAATAAATGCATATCTATCAGTCTATATATACACATCTAACGTACAGATAAAAAATAAATGTATATTTATTTGATAGATCGATAGATATGCATTTATTTCTGTGTATATGGATGTCTGTTTATACGAATATTCGTTGGTCGGGCCTGGCACAATTTTAACAAACTGGCGGATAGTATAGAGTACAAAGGTCGTTGGATTTAATTTCTGCAATGCTTGTTTCTAGGCTGCTTGTATTTATATGCGAAATGTTATCGATATGAATTGTTGTTTATCAGTTGCCTCATATATACACTCCAGGCATAGTAGAATAGGCGTTTTGCTTTTAACATCCTTTTAATAGTGACGTCATCAGTGATTGAGGTTTACAAGAACGGTTGAGAAAAATAAATCTGGACTTACAAAAACGCCCTGGACGTAAACAATGGAGGGCGAGAAGGAGAAAACTGCGACATCTCAAGAAAATGCCTCAGAAACACAAGAAAACCAGGAGCAGGAGAATAAACACACATCCGCTAAGCAAAAGAGTAAGACAGTGACAAGTGTGAGCCAAGAAGGAGTGAGTGGTGTGAGATGGAGAGGGAGTGAGAAGTCAAGGAGTATTATTCTTTGACAACTTTGTTATTATAAATAGCTATTTATCAAAAATCGCTTGATTTTTTTCCTATTAGATAAAGCAGGATAATGAGAAGGATGTAATGTAAGAATGTTTGTAAGACATCCACTTACCTGCCACTGATCTTGAACCCGCTACACCTGTCAGTGCTCTGCGAAAAAAAAAAAACATATACCGTATATGCAGCCAAGTTAGAGTATATAAACTTCTTTTAGGGTATAGTATTTTGTTGGATAGTTTTCAAGAAGAGGTCATCAACTTAAAATCTATTAAGTTCTATAACAATTGATCTTATTGATGTTGATTGTAGTTGAGATACAGTATCTACTAATAGCGGTGATGCTAGACTTCAGTAACTGGGGAGGCATGAGATGTCTTCAAGGAATGGCAGAGTTAGATTAGATTGTTACTAAATTATTGTTATTGTAAGACCCTATAAATGCTGATGGAGATAGTTATAATCATCAAGAGATATATTGGCTGAGTTGGGTACGGGTCTAGCCATCACGATTCACTTGTATGCCTGCACTCCAGAGTTTATGTGGCATTCTTGTTGGGCCAGTAGTGCATAGCAAAGGCTATGCACTACTGTCATTGGGTTAAAATCTTCCCTACAAGGACACTGTTGTCTTGCTAATACCCTGCCTGCTATGAAATATCTCAACCACATTTGACTGGAAAGACTAGTCCAGACTCCTTTTCCACTGATCCCCACTCAAGACCATTCACCTCCAATTGGGATAACCTTAAACTCACCATACTTACATCCATGAACAAACACATCCCACAGAAAACACCTTCAAGTAGACATACACTTCCCTGGTTCTCCAGGGAGCTACGCAGACAACATCGCAAAAAACAGCGACTCTACAGACGCGCGCAAACATACAACACTCCAGAAAATTGGACTGCTTACAAAACTCACCAAAATTTTATTTCCAAAAACATAAAGAAAGCAGAACACAAACATATTTCCACCTACCTCGCAAACAACGTCAGAAATAACCCTAAACACTTCTTCAAATTCTTTAAGTCGCGCAGACAGGACACAACGGCAATCACAGCCTTGAAAGACTACAACAACACTCTCGTAACTGACCCAGAACTCAAATCACAATTACTCAACACTCACTTCCAGTCTGTTTTCACACACGAAGATGATAATACACCTAACATTCCAGATAGACCTTATCTCCAATCCGCCGCTTGACATCACGACTAACGGCATACTGAAACTAATGACTACTCTTGACACAAACAAAGCCACTGGACCAGATCAGATCCCCGCCTTAATCCTCAAGTCCTGTGCCCCTGTCCTTGCCCCCATCCTTCAATCTATCTTTTCCCAATCACTCGCCTCATTCACCCTACCAACTGACTGGCTTTGTGCAAATATCACCCCCTCTTCAAGACAGGCGACAGAACTGACCCGACGAATTATCGCCCCATCTCTCTCACATCGATCGTCTGCAAAATTTTTGAACACATAATACACAAACACATAATGAACCACATTGATACCCACAACATCCTTACAGACTCACAACATGGTTTTCGGCCCAGACGATCATGTGAGACCCAACTA